AGACCAAGCCTACAGTCTAACTGGGGATCCTGGCCATAGAGGAGACTAGGACATGAGGAGCAAACAACTCCCATGAAGCACTACAACTCTCATTTTTGGCCAAAATGTTTTGTTTGTGATCAACTGAATTTTTCTGTGGAAAATTTACATGTTTTCATATTTGTTGAAAATTTCTAAGGGGAGGCATGGGGGAGCACATTTTCAAACCAGCTCTATATAATAGGTATGGGGGAGGGGAGAAGTTCTAGAAAGAAAGGAGTTCCTCTTTATTTGGCAGATTACTGGTTCAAAACTGGCTCAGGACCCTAGTAGTAAGGCATCTAGGCATTAGTATCATCGGGTGACTTGTGGCAATCAATGTAAAATCAATTCCTGTGGTCATCCAGTTTCCAGTGAGCAAGGTCCACATCCTGAAATCCACTGGACTTGGCTATATTGGTATCCTCTGGGCATTCTCGGCAGAAAGGCCACAGATCAAATGGACATGGAAAACACCCTGAGAGATGGCCCCTCCAGAGCAACATTGGTGCTGCAGTGTGAAGTCTGCACTGCTGTTGCCCATGAATTAAGAATGATAGTTTGTAAACCTTCCTAACTGAAGACTTGCACCAACACAACTCAAATGCTGTAAAAGAGATCTAAGATATGTTCTTGTAGGTTTGCCACTGGAGTGTGTCTAATGAATTTCAGATTGGTACCGAGAGCAAATGGGAAACATTCCACCATCTATGTTCTATCACACTGAATTAGAGTTGGTAACATATACGCTGCTATTTCATGAGAGTACAGTATAGAGAGGAGGAGGAGAGAGAGGTATGAGAAACCCCAACTACAACTCCCGTGAGACAGAGTGGCAGCATTTGGCAACTGACGTTTTGGCAAAACTCTTGGGTTTCAATTTTTGCCAAAAAGCCAGAATTTTCCATGATAACTTTTTTTTAACAAATTTTTTTCAAAATTGTCCAGTTAAAAAAAAAAAAAAAAAAATTTGACTTGCTCTAGAGCTGGGGTCGGCAACCTTTCAGAAGTGGTGTGCCGAGTCTTCATTTATTCACTCTAATTTAAGGTTTTGCGTGCCAGTAATACATTTTAACGTTTTTAGAAGGTCTTTCTATAAGTCTATAATATATAACTAAACTATTGTTGTATGTAAAGTAAATAAGGTTTTTAAAATGTTTAAGAAGCTTCATTTAAAATTAAATTAAAATGCAGAGCCCCCCGGACTGGTGGCCAGGACCCGGGCAGTGTGAGTGCCACTGAAAATCGGCTTGCGTGCCGCCTTTGCACACGTGCCATAGGTTGCCTACCCCTGCTCTAGAGCTAACAGGGCAGTGAGACCCACAACCCTTTCATATTCTAACTTGTGTGTTTACATTTGCAACTTTTTTGCATCTAAAGGCCTTAAAAGTGATTTTAAGTTAGAGGCGTGACTTTTCTGATGGAGATCAGGCTCTGAGTGTGAAAGGGGAGGGGGGAGAGAGAAGGAAGGGCATGTGGGACACTGGTGATATTATTCACTTTTCAACTTAAACACTTATTAAAGATCAGAAGTCTGTTTTCACATTAGAGACATTGTGAGACTTTCTGATGATGTGAGTTTCTATGCAGTTATCATCCACATACTTTATTACAGAACTTCAATACTATGACAATAACAAGGTCCATCACAATAAAAATTTCAAAAAGTTTACAAAACTACCATTACAAATCTGAAACACTGTTACAAAGGAGGCAGGACAAGCTGAGAAATAGAGGTTGACATTTGTGCCTGCTACAGTACTATTGTTATGCTGACACATCCATGCTGACGCTTCCAGAATCTGGAGTACACCTATTTGCATAATGGAGAATGGTAGAAGTGGAATGGGAGCAACTTCTGTGGGGAAAATAAACCCCAGGTCTTTTAAAGAAGAAAAATAAGCCCTTGGCGTTTACATCAGCAAACCCACAGAGCAGTAATGGAGTATCAGCAAGCAGTTGAGAAGGGGCGGTAACTATCATATTCTGTAACAATAATTACACATAAACGTAATGTTTTCAGTGACTCCATTATTGTAAATATATTATTCAAGACTATTCTCATGACTATATTGGGTTGCTTAAGCATATGTTTATATTTACTACAGAAGCGATTGGAGAAATGCAGGAGTTATTTCAGTTAAGAAAAGTTCACCTCTAACTTATGGCCCTTTCACAAAGAATGGGACATATGTACCTCTGCTTCAACACAGTGGGCCAAATTCATCCCTGGTGTAATTCCACAGGCCTCAATCCAATTACCCCCAAGGATGGATTTTACCTGGAATCTTCACATTCAACCTTTGACATGTGAAAAGTCTGATCTGCACTTCTGCTGCTCGCAGCAAAATAGCTGAGCTGACGCATTCTGAATGTCTGGGTGCATTACTGGGTACTGCCGTGCAAATATTTCCACCAGGTTGATGCAATCGTACAGCAGCTCCCCAGTTCGCCTGAAGGGCTTTGAAACAAAGCTAGGCAGGCAAGGCTAAGACTGATATTTTGGGGCCAGAGGGGAAGATTCACCCACTAAAATGCAGAGATTAAAAGAGTTTGAAGCTGTTAAACAATACAAAATTAAGGCTACTGTGAGGTGTTCTTGGTCCATGTTTTGTAAAACAGATCAGCAAACTTGCTCATTGAATTCCTGGAGCAGCTCAAATGTTTTTCTTTTTCTTTTCTTTTTTTTCAAGCAGGCAGCCACCACAGCACGCACATGTAATAGTACTTTAAAGGCAGCTGGTTTGATGGGTTATTCAAAAACTTCAAAACCTCTAGGCTAGGTGAGATTTCTTTTCCTCACTGGTCACAAAATGTGTTGTTTAAACTTTAAATCTGGAATGGACACCATCGTACTTGGTGTAAAGTCAGAGGCTTTGGGAGTTATTCCATTCTTTAATCAAAAGCCACTAAGTTCCACACAACTCGATGCCAGGGGCTGGATTGTCATTCAGCCAGATGCAGCCATACCGGGGAGTCAGACCTTCCTACCCCCATGGTGTGTCTGCATTAATGCTCCACATATTGCAGGCAGCTCCTGCTGTACGTGAGGAGGAGAAGATTGTGGCCAGTATTCCCCCCGCAAAGCAGGCAAGTGGAACTTTGGCTCCAATTCTCTTCCCCCATCTGACAACATACTGACCAGCTGAGCCAATGTGAGGGTGGGGAAGCAAGCTGAACTGTTTTCACAGCTGCAGTACGGAGCTCCTGTCCCCACTCCCCATAGGCGCAAGGGAAGGAGTTGTGAGTCTGGGACTCCTTAGGTGCAAAGCTCGATTCAGCATGTGCTAGGGAGCCACTATTAGCGCTTTCCTAATACTCTGGACTCAGAAAATTTGGTCGCTGTAGTGAACAACCCTCTTGCCTTGCCTAAGTTATTAGTTTGAATAGATGACCCTACAATTATGTGCTTTCGCTACTTGTTTTGCACCCACATTTAAAACAGAGCTCAGGATGCTTCAGATGTGCCAGAACTCTTCAGTTGCTTTGAATATTGGAATAGGCAGGGCCGGCTCTGGCTTTTTTGCCGCCCTAGGCAAAAAAGCCACCCGCCGCCCCTCCTCCCGCCCCCCCCAGCGCAGCAGGGGAGGGCGCCGAGCCCGGCCGCGGGCCCGCAATCCCCAACCGGCCGGAGCGCCGGGGGGAGGGTGGCGAGCCCGCCGTGGCTCCACTCTCCCCGGCGGCCAGAGCGCCGGGGGGAGGGTGGCGAGCCCAGCTGGGGCTCTCCGCTCTCCCCGGCAGCCAGAGTGCCGGGGGGAGGGCGGCGAGCCCGGCCGGGGCCCCGCTCTCCCCGACCGGCCGGAGCGCCGGGGGGAGGCCGGCGAGCCCGGCCGGGGCCGCTCTCCCCGGCGGCCGGAACGCCGCGGGGAGGGCGGCGAGCCCAGTCGCGGCCCAGCTCTCCGGCTGGAGCGCCCCGCCGCGCCGCCCCCCTCCAGGCGCCGCCCCAAGCACATGCTTGGTGGGCTGGTGCCTGGAGCCGGCCCTGGGAATAGGGCACTTGTGAATTTTGTCTCCCGCCAATTAAAGTTCCCAATCTGGCAGTGAGCGCCATGAGGGCAGAGCTCCTGGCAGCATTAGGGCCGAAACCACTCCAAGTAACCAAACCCACACAGGGTTCAGGCACTAGAGCGAAGGGGTGCTTTTGCTTTTTGAAATGAAATATGGCACCGTATCTGGATTCATTACGTACTTTAGTCTGAAAACTCAGTTCAGCCCAGTCCTTCTTCCAAACCACTAACACGTTCCATTTGCTAAACATGCTAAATGGGTCCTCAAGGGCAAAAAAAGGCCCTTTCCTGCAGCTCATCCTCTTGAAACCTGTACTGTACAAGCCAGAGGAGGACAGTCACTTCAGTGAAAGGCATATATTCAGTGCTGCAACAGCACAACTCCTCTTGGGAGGAAGAGGGCAACTTTCTAGTCTGTTTACAGCCATTTACACAGTAACCCTAACCGCTGCTATTTGAAACATGAGGCGTGGAAATCACCTCTTTCTCGCATGTCCAAACTACAATACTGTTGTGCAAGGGAGCGTGTCTGTGTATTGTGATCTTACAAGGAGGGAAGCAGTATACAATGGGGTAGAGTTAAGAAGATGGTGGCATAGTCTGTAGTAGTTCCACAATTTTGCTGCTGTGGGGGGTTGTTGTGAAGGCCGTGACCAGAAATGAGGCCAATGCGAGTTAGCCAAGGGGGAAAATTACAAAACACAGAATAAATAGAAAGAATAAAAAGCAGTATATCATAAAAGCAAGACATTTCAAACGATCCTGCTCAGTGTACAGAACATTTAAGGGACAATGGGACTGACCAGTTGCAAGGGAAATTCTAAATGATGTGCCTATGTTCAATCCATAATTTAATTTGGAAGAGGCACAAAACCTTAAAAAAAACCCTCCAATATATATGATGGGAGTGAGGAAAGAATCTCAAAGAACCCTTTTTCAAAGAAACATTTCTGAATCAATAGTCTGAGGTTTGTATTTTTTCTTTTTTTAAAAAAAAATTAACAAATCTAAATAGTCTAGATTTTTGCCAGAAAACAAAACATTCTAATTTTGCAAGCTGTGGTGAAGTCCAGTTCTGTATAATCGGCTGCATACAGAACAGATTTCCGGTAAAAGAGACTGACTGACTGTTACACTATGAGATCCTGGAGCTCTTGGTCAGTCAGCTCATTCACCTCCATGATCTTTTCCAAGTGTTCCATGTATCTGACATGGTCCTGCAAGAAGTGTGGTACTCTCATGTTCTCAATCACCGCAAATTCCTTCAAGCGATCCACTTCCTCGTAAGAGACCTAGAGGAGAGGACAGGGGGATAAGTCAAAGCTGTACCCATTTTGCAAATTGACATGTCTAAAACACACAATTTCATTCCCCTCTCATAGGTGACAAAAGGATTCCAGGGCACAGGTGTTTTAAAGCATCTTGTCAGAATCCTTCTCTCGAGGTGATAGTAGAGTCTGATTTTATGCATGGTCCAGTAAGGTGTGCATTAGAATATGATCCCGGGGAATTACTACATCCTGTCAAAGGAGGCCTGGTTCTGCTTCCACTGAAGTCAATGAACAGACTCTCAGGGCATGTCTACACTACAAAATTAAGTTGACTTAAGTTAGGTCAATGTACAGCCACTACAGTAATTAAATCGACCACTGGTGTCCACATTATGCTTCTTGTGTCGGCAGTGCGAGTCCTCATCAGGAACGCTTGCACCAACTTAAGTGGGGCATTTGGGGGCACTGACAGCCGGAGCCCCGCCGCCCCAGGGCTGACAGCTGTCAAAGGCAGCAGCAGACCATGTAAGTAATGCAGTGTCTACACGGACACTGCATCAACTTAACTAGATCGACCTAAGTGCTACGCCTCTAGCAGAGATGGAGTTGTTAGGTCGGTGTAGCGGGCGAGTTAAATCAGCAGGAGGAACATGGTAGTGTAGACGCTTACACAGTCTACTTACTCTGTAGTGTAGACCAGGTCTTAGTGACGTCAATGGGAGCAGGATTGGTGGCTGTTAAGGATGAATGAACTAGTCCGGAAAAACTGATTTCCTTCCCATCCACAAGGATGGCCTTTCTTCTTCTTTTTTGACATTCCTGTTGTACGTGCCAGCAGACATCCAGTTTCTTACACTGGGGCTGATTTCTCCTTGCAAACCTTATGTGCTCTGGAGCTTTCCTGACAGAGATGCACAGTGCAATCGGGGCAGGGGCACTCTGACACAGAAGCCACCATGTGAGCAAGATGTGAAAGACAGAATGAGCCTGCGGACATAAAGGATCAGGGCTGTTGCAGGCCTCTTAGGTGAGGGGGAAGGAATGGAAAATCTGGTCTTAGACATATTCACATGCAAGGGGAGCGGCAGGCCCGACGGGAGATGTGAGGAGGGAAGCGGGGGCTGTTGTGGCCAAGGTTTGGGAAACTAGAAAGGGAAATGAAAAGGCTCTGTGGATGTATGGAGACTGCAGCGATGGGAGGAGTCCTCGTATGGTTCATAGAAGTTTTGGGGAAGCAGCCAAACTGTGAGTGCTAACATGACCCAAGCTTCCAAAGCTTTAGTTTCACCCCCAATAATTCATTTGTGCTTGTGCGGAGCAAAATAAAAACGTGTCATTCTAGTACGAGGGTTGCCACCTCTGAGGTACAAAAATCTGGGACATACAGGATGATTTGGGGCCCATAAAACTGGACAGCTGGCAGGGTGTACTTAGCTGTCCTAGGAAATCAGTATCTCCAAAAAGGAATGATACTGGGAAAACTTGCATAGGTGGCAACCCAATTAGTAAGTAACTTGTTACAAATGATGATTGCAGTATTGGCAATCTAAGCATTCCAAAACAATGAGTAAGGTCTCAACAATCGTGAGATTGTTACAAAAATAATAAATTATGGGTTTATTTTCTGAGCCTTCAGAGTGCAGGTGGATCATTTTCAAGCATTTCTCCACTACCATACAGACTATATAGTTACTTTTTTAATGACAGCTGAGATTCTCACATCCCACTCCAGGAGCTGGGGCTTTAAGAAAAATCCCAAGTATCCCAAGACTCATGATAAAATTGTGAGCGTTGGCAGCACTGTGATTGAATCGTGCAGGGAGGAAGAGTGGAGGGGTGCTGGCTCAGGTGCTTGCTACAAGAGCCATTGGGGCAATGTCCAGCATGATTGCCCCTGCATTGTTGTGCCACAGGCAGGCCTGAGGCATGGATGTTTCTACTAACTGGCACGCCACATTTCTCTGAGGCTTTTGTGCCAGATCCTCTTCCCTAGAAGTCTCTTAAGTACAAGGCTGTAATCCTGCTCTGCTCCTGCATGGGGATGGGGAATGCTCTCATGAGCACTTTTGCAAGATCTCACCCTACACAACTACCTGCTTCTCTTTGCTAATCGATAGGGCCCTACCAAATTCACGGTCCATTTTGGACAATTTCACAGTCATAGGATTTTAAAAATTGTAAATTTCATGATTTCAGCTATTTAAATCTGAAATGTCACGGTGTTGTAATTGTAGGGGTTCTGACCCAAAAAGGAATTGTGGGGTAGTTGCAAGGTTGTAGTGGGGAGGGGGGGAATTGCAGTACTGCTACCCTTGCTTTTGCGCTGCTGCTGGCAGTGGTGCTGCCTTCAGAGCTGGGCAGCTAGAGAGCGGTGGCTGCTGGCCGGGAGCCCAGCTCTGAAGGCAGAGCCACTGCCAGCAGCAGTGCAGAAGTAAGGATGGCATGGTATGGTATTGCACCCTTACTTCTGTGCTGCTGCCTGCAGAGCTGAGCCCTCAGTCAGCAGCTGCCACTCTCTGGCCACCCAGCTCTGCAGGCAGCAGCGCAGAAGTAAGGGTGGTGTGGTATGGTATTACCACTGTTACTTCTGTGTTGCTGCTGGCGGGCCGCTGCCTTCAGAGCTCGGCCCAAAATAATCTTGCAACCCCTTTGCAACTCCCTTTTGGGTCAGGACCCTCAATTTGAGAAATGCTGGTCTCCCCCATGAAATCTGTATAGTATAGGTTAAAAGTACACAAAAGACCAGATTTCACAGGGGAAGACCAGATTCACGGTCTGTGACATATTTTTCATGGCTATGAATTTGGTAGGGCCCTACTCATCGAGTATGTGCAGTCATTAAGTTAAAAAAAACCCTGTCTTTGTAAAATTAAAGCAACCTTAGAAATGAAAATGTTTCTGCAAAGGATTTCAGCTAGAGCTTCTTTGTTTCATTTTTAAATAAGGAACAAATAAAGTACGTATCATTTGTTTTTACAAAATGTGGCAGGGTGGCCAGAGAGCTTTGTAATATTGCATAGATTTCTCCCACCCCCACAATTCTCCCCTATGCTATTGCAAGGGATGGAAAGAAATGTAGCTTTTCTAGGATACAGCTTTAATCACAGTGGAACAGGCTGGCAGTGATATAGCAGATTGGGAAAAGAGTTAAAGAAAGTTCTGCTAACTCCCTGAGGCAGGTGGCTTGTTAATCCATCTATACGTAAGGGGGTGGGGTGGGAAGAGGGTTTAGACTGAGCAGTCTGGAGGAAGACTAGGAGCAGCCAAGTCTGGGGAGCTGCTCTTACGTTATCTTGTTGTCGTTACTTAACAACTCCACACTCCAGGAAAGGGGTGAGATTGGACTTCATATAGTGTGCAGACTGTTTGTAGAGTAGGTTGGGAAAGGCACCTGTTTGTGCACAGATATGTCTTCTGAGCTACAGTGGAAAAATAAATCATGATAAAAAGAGAACAAGCACAGGCTAATCCAGGTCAAATCGGAGACTTACTGTTTAAGAGGACCACAAAAAGGGAAGAGCTACATTACAGCCTGACTAGTGTAAATATAGAAACATCTAAAAGCCAAACCCTAGCTCAAGTTAATTGGCTGTGTGCCGGGAAGCTATGTGGAAAGTGGCAGAGAATGGAATCTTTCCCTCACGCTGGGGACACGACCCTGAGCGTTGCTGTGTACAAGGTAGGATGGCTGAGGTTAGATGCCTACAAGATGTTACAAGTTGACTGGCCCCTTTTAAGAGGAAGTGGTGTCTAGTGCACATGTGGTTCATCAGCTACCTCCCACATGAGTTAAGTGAAGGCCTTGGGCCTGAGAGGGTCCAGTCAGGAAAGAAGTAGGTGAGAGGTGCCCGCCAGCCTGAGGGTACAGCTATGCCACAATAAAAAACCTGCAGCACCAAGTCTCACAGCCTGGGTCAACTGGCTCAGGCTCACAGAGCTTGGGCTGTGGGGCTAAAACTGCAGTGTAGACATTCAGGCTCAGACAGGAGCCTGGGTTCTGAGATCCATCCCCTTTGTGGGGTTTCAGAGCCTGGGATCCAGCCCAAGCCTGAACATCTACACTGCAATTTTTAGTCCCACAGCCTGAGCCCAGCAAGCCCAAGTCAGCTGAGCCAGCCCAGCCACGTCCAAGCTGCAGTTATTTTACTGCCGTGTAGACGAACCCTGAGAGAGACAGGAAATCAGTAGGTGAGAGCTGCCAGAGACCAGGAGATTGAGAGGTCCCTGAAGGAAGCTTTAGGTTGTTCCTGGGGGAAGGCTAAAGACAGGGGAGAAAGAAGGATTTGCTGGCTGGTCTTCCCAAGCCAGAGGGCTGAGGGCCAAGTGGGTATTAGGGATGTTCCCTATGTGAGGATGAACTCCTAGCAAAGAGGCTGTGGGGGATCCCACCTGGGAAGAGCAGGGTTGCACTTCAGCTGGAAGGGCTGGGATGGCTGTCCTAGTAAAAGGGCTGGAGAGGATCCAGGAAGAGCCCGGGTGTGGTGAAGATGCTGGAGCGTGGTATGTGCTATGTCAGTGGACCCAAGGATGTGGGATTTTACAGTCTACACACACTGGCTGTGAGAAATGGACCACGTTATGGATTTGAAACTATGTTTTGGCAATATCCTGCCCCCCAGGAGGGTATCAGTGAGTCAAGAAAGCTTGTGTGGAGTTACTGGGGACTCCGAAGGAGGGAGACTGAAGCAGGCACACCTGTCATGCAGTGGCCTCCCGCTGAAGAGCGCTCAAGGCAAGGCCGCTCTATGAAACCGCCCTTTCAGCACCTTGCCTTCAAATTTCAACCTCCTCCCTCCACAGGACAATGAATTTTTATTTCTTACAAAAGGTCAGATTCCTATCTGACCTGCATCTACCCAGGTGCTCAATAGCTGTGATCAAATTATGCCCCAATCAAGCTGCACTTCCCCCAGCCACTGCCATCACTAAATATGGTATTTGGCAACATTTTAGGAGGGAAAGATATGACTCACCACATAGCTCTCTCTTAATAGGCTACTTCCACCACTGTGTGCAAGCAA